CCCCTGCGCAGGGGAGCCCGGCGGGAGGCGGTGGGAGCCCCCCGGCGCTGAGGGCGGTGCGGGCCTGGCCTGGCTTGGCCTGGCCTGGCTCGGCTCTAGGAGCAGAGAGCGGTGTGAGGTTTGTGGCAGTGTCTCTGCAGAAGCCTGGCTGTAAAGCGGCGGGCGTTCAGCTCGGGCAGTCCTTGCACCGAGTCCCACATCACAGCTGGCAAGCAGAGGGGATGGAGGGACTTTGGCACTTGCTTTAGCAAGAAAGGTGTAGTCTTAGTCTTTTAGTGTCCTAAGTAAGAAGGCAGTTCTGTAATAGTACATATTTTAAAGTTATAAATGCAACCTCCGGGGCTTTAATTTATTTGTAACTTTTTTTTTTTAATCGGATGAAGTTAAAACATTAACTTGGGTTCCCTGTGTTAAAACAGCTCTGCCTGACACTTCAAATGTGTATTTCAGGGCGTAATTAATAGCATTTCATGCAGCATGTTATTTTCATCACGCTGTGTGTGCAGTGGAGGTAAAAAAAAAGATTTAAGTGAGAGAAGTTAGAATTGTGTTCAAGTGTAGTTTAATTCATAGCTGCCCTGTACCTCTGGCTCAGAGACAAAGCTGTTGTATGTACACCTACCTTTATTCCTATATTTATAAGCTAGAAGTCAACTGTAACATTTCAGCCTGAAGCCATGGTTTTTTATATTTTGTGTGTTTGGGTTTTTTTTCGTTTCTCAATTCTTTAATCTAAAATGCTTTTTTACTGTCATTCTTTATATATGTTTAGGGAATAAAGCTGTTCCAAAGACTTCAGCACATAACACATCTAATGTTAATATCTGTAATACTTTAAATAATTTATCTATATAACAATTTATCCAGCAGAACTTGGATCCTTTCTTTCCTAAATGGACCGTTTCAGTCAGCACAGCTTTTCAGACTTTTATCCCAAAGAAAAAATACATATGTGGGATCAGAGAAACTACTCTTAGAGAAATGCAGGCCTTCAAGTTTTTTAGCTCCCCTGACTGAAGCTTCCAGTCCTAGAGGCAAGTTGAGGTTATTGTGTAAGCACTTGTTTTGACACAAGGGAAAAGAGATCAAAATAAGATTTATTTCTTTTTCCTCTTTTTTCTTTCCTTGCTTGGTTTAAATTTATCGTGACACTACAGCACTGGGGGAGAAACCTCTCATCCTAGGTGCAGGCTTCTTGTTTCAGATTTGCTTTTCCAGATGTCTGTGTGGATCTGTATGGGGAAACTGGGAGTTTTTTTACAGTACAATTCCTTCTTGACTTCTCTCTGGAGTGGTTCTGTTTGGGTGAACCCAGAGTAAACACCAGATATGCCCACACCGTTTTCTTTTCCCGTGGTCCATATTGTTCTAATAAAAACAGAGAATAAACCTGGAGAACATGAGTGTATGAACTGACAGCCAGGTTGAAATTTTGACATCTACCCCAAAGAAGAAACAGCTTTTCCAAAGATCACGGTCTCTTTTAAAGAGGGAATAAAAATCCTATCATACATGACAGGAGTTTTGCTAATCCAGATGTTATTTCTTTGTAAATTTCTAGTGTTTCATTTTTGTTTGGTTTTTTTTGGTGGGGGGTGGGGGGTGGTTGGTTTGGTTGGGTTTTGTTTGGGGTTTTGGAATGGAATTTTTTGTTTGTTTGGTTTTGCTTAATTTTGCTTACATACGCCAGAATGTGGGAGGACTCCTTAAAAAGCAAACCAAGGAAAAGTTCTTCTCTTGTTATTTCTTGCCTACCATCTTCTGAGAGACGTTGAATGAGAAAGACTGTGCCCTTGACAGCCTTTAGGTTTTCTTAGCATTCTGATACTTTGTTGAATAAGAGCTCAGGATTTGGAGTGAAACTCAGCAGAAATCACAAATTTGGATTTATCCCTCAGGCACAGCCAAATTATCACAGGTGGTGGCTCTTCCTTTAAACAGTGTATTTGGGCAAAAAAAGCTAATAAATGCAGAAGAGCTAGATGATGTTTCATCCTGCAAGACCCATAGACTTTTCTCAATCGCTTGGGCTCCTGAAAGAGAGCAGTGCCAATGTTTTCTGTATTGCTAGTCCAGCCAGATCCTCTTGTTGAGCCCCTAAAGGTGCTCTGATGCAATGTCTTTATAATGTTCTCTGTTCAGCTAAACTTTGGAACTTTATCATTTATCTGTGCTTGTAAATTAGTGCTCCGTTTGAATATTTATTATTACCTTTAAATCTGATTTGCACTCTTTATTCAGTACTAATCTAGTGTAAAATGTATTAATGTTAACATTAAACTACTGTATATAATTATGATGAAAATCTCCAGTCTTGTTTTTCCTTATATGATTTTTATGAAACAGAGAGACCTCTTTCTCATCTGGTTAGGAAGAATTAACTGGTCTTGTCTTTTCCTGAAAATCTTCCATGCAGAGCATTCCAGATAATTAAACCTCTGAGTACTCTTCTTATTTCGGCCGTTGTTGATTCTCATCTATCTGGAGTAACACTCCATGGTTCACCTTGAGGTTCATTTCGTCTGTTGTCCCTCAGCAGGCATTTTTTTTGGT